TTTATATATATATATATATATATATTTATATATATATATATATATATATATATATATATATATATATATATATATATATATACAGGGTGTCCCATAATTAATTGGACATTAGCTAATGGGTGATAGCTGACATCAAAATAAAGCGTTTGAGCTTAAATTGCTTAGGCAAAATGTTGCTTGTTTTCGTTCTACAGGGTGATTCATTAATATTTTTTTATATTATTTTTAGGGATATATTGAAAACTATTCCACCGATTTAAGTAAAATTTGGTATCTTGCTATTATTGAGTATGCCTAATATGAAAATGATATTAGTTTTACCGATGACACTAGGTGGCGCCACCTACTATAATATTGGTTCATTAATGGGGCCATAATTTTTTCCCGCCCTGTATAAACATTCTAGAAAAAAAATGAAATAACATTCAATTCTACACAAAAAAGGTATTTGTGTTTAAAATCAAAAAAGTACACCGTTTTCGAAATAAACGTATTTTTAGAGACGTGCATAAAATAAAAAAATTTTACAAAACCTTATGTAAATTCAAACATTATTCAAAAGGTCTTAAATAAAAGTAAATAAATATTAAATGTATTGGTAGTAGATAATTTTTGCAAACAAAATGCCTATGATTGAAACAATTATTTTTATTAAACCTTTGACTCAGTAACAAATTTAAAAAAAAAATCAGAAATTAAATTAAACAATGAAGTGAATATAAAACAATTAACAAACTGAATAATTCAAAACGAAACGAAAAAAAATTACAATAAGTGTTTAAAATGTGCACCATTAGATAAACTACATAATCTAAATATTTTGTGTAAGTTTTGTCTTATTTTAAATAATGAGTTTCTTTGGGCCCTAATTACGTCAACTCCCTCTACAATATTTTGCCATAACTCTTGATGGTTATTTATTTTTTTTTTTATAAACAAGTGACTTTAGGTAGCCCCACAAGTGAAAGTCTAGGGGATTCCGTGCTGGCCATGGGTATACACTACCTCTACCAATCCACCTTTGAGGATAAATTTCATCGAGATAATTTGTAACTTCTAGGCTATAATGTGGTGGTGTACCATCATGCATGTACCAAGAGTTCCGTCTCAAATTTAGAGGTATTCTAAAAGAGTTGGTAAATCTTGTCTCAAAAAATTTAGATACGTTACTCCGTCAAGCCTAGTTGGTAATTCGAATAGTCCTACAATACAATCCCCAAATATGCCACACTAGATATTTATGGAAAACTCTTGTTGAAAATGATGTTCTTGAAATGCATTAGGATTTTCTGTCGCGTAGATATGGCTATTGCGCCAGTTAAATACACCCCTTCTAGTAAATGTGGCTTCATCAGTAAATACAATTTAAATATAAAACATTGGATCGTCTAAATACCGTCCCATCATAAACTGACTATATCGGAGCCTTGCTGGAAAATCCTGTGGTAAAAGATTTTGTACTGGAGTAAAACGATATGGATACAGATTTTCTGTCCATATTATTCTTGACACCGTATAATTTGCTGATACCAGTGGCCGCAGAAACAAGCCTTGTACTGGTTCCTGGATCTTCTGCAACACGCACAAAAATTTCATCCTCCATATTCGCATCAATTACTCTCGGTCTTCCAGCATTCCTGTTTTTGGGATGAAATAACCCTGTTTCGCCTTATCTGTCGAACAATGATCTAATAGCTTTATGGTTTGGTTAACTTCTATTGGAATAAAATTCGAAATAGAGTTCAGCTGCTTTACGAGAACAAAAATTTTCCTGGGCATACAAACATATCATATCGCGCATTTCTACATTAGAAAATTCACTATGACGTGGCATTTTTCCTTTATCTTAAGTGGTTTATAAAAAACTTAATAGCACTTTGACAAATAATGACTCGCACTGCACTTTGACAACTAATAATAAATAAATTCGTAGTTACCTTTGACAACTAATAATAAATAAATTCTTACTTACGCCTTGACTTTGCCATTAAGTTCACAGCATACCTAGGTACCTGCTTGTTTTGCGAAAAACAAAATACGTTTATTTCGAAAACTGTGTACTTTTTTTATTTGAAACAAGAATAACTTTTTTGTGTAGAATTGAATGTTATTTTATGTTTTTTTCCTAGAATGTTTATACAGGGCGGACAAAAAAATTATGGCCCCAATAATGAACCCATATTACAGTAGGTGGCGCCACCTAATGTCAATGGTAAAACTAATATCATTTTCTTATTAAGTATACTAAACAATAGCAAGATACCAAATTTCACTTAAATCGGTTGAATAGTTTTCAATATATCCATAAAAATAATATAAAAAAATATTAATGAATCTCTGAATATTAATGAATATATATATATATATATATATATATATATATATATATATATATATATATATATATATATATATATAGGACGCTCGACTTTTTTTCAATAAAATATTCTATATCAGCGGTACTCAAACTGTGGTACGCGTACCACTAGTGGTACGCAAAGCACTTAAAGGTGGTACTCTATAAACTAGAAAAAACGATAAATTTTAATAAAATTTACTAACAAATGTTATCTTTTAGTTTGAAACCACAAGCGGGCAATGTCTTATTCATTGTTGGCAATACTGAAATCATGGCAAATTGTCACGTCCCTTAATTCACGTCCATTCACATCATCAGCTTCCTTGTGGCCGTCAGTCGTTTTGGTTGGTTTTGTCGAAACGAGTGATTTGCTGTTAGTGATCAGTGCTAATTTTTGCATTTAAAAAATGGATAAGTGGCTTAAAAGAGACAACAAAACATCTGAAAATCCCGGTCCAGTTAGTTGAGCTCAACTTCAGAGTCGGAGTCTATACAGGGTGATGACAAAAGAGTTCAAAAAACTAAAAGTGACGGTTAGAAAATATTGTCCTGAATACAATAATATGGTATTTATATTCACGAATATAAATGATGAGCCAAGGCCCCAATGTGTAAACTGTTTGGAAATTCTTTTTAATCAGTGTACGACACCTTCGTTGTCAAAACGCCACTTCAATACAAAATATTCAGTGTTATAAAATAAACCTAAGGATTACTTCGGAAGTTAACGGAGATGGGAGGCACAAAAAAATTAATGCCGAATTTCAGCGGCAGCAACCAAAAAGCAGTAGGGGCATCCTTCCTCGTGAGTTTAAAAATTGCGAAGAGTGGAAAAGCACATTATACCATCAGTGAAGAACTAGTGCTGCCTACCGCACAAGATATGGTAACGTGTAGTTTTTGGAGAATTTAGGTAAACAGCTTAGTATTATACAATTATCCAATGATACCCTATGTCGTATCATTAAAATAATGGCATTAAATGTTAAAAAAAATTCGTAAACCGGATAAAAAATAGTATTTTTTTGCTATACAACTTGATAAGAGCACAGATGTAACATACTATGCTTAGCTTATTTTTTTATCTGCGATATATATTTCAAACCAAAATCGAAAAGAGTACTTATTATGTGAGGCGTTAAAAAAACGAACTGCTGCCGATAATATATTCAAGAAAATCAAAAATTTTTTTGTGGAAAATGGACTAGACTGGAAACAATACGTTGATTTCTGTTCGGATGGTGCCCGAGCCATGACAGGAAAATACAGAGGTGTAACTGCCAAAGTAAAACTGGTTACAGAAAATTGTACTTTTACCCATTGTAGTATCCACAGAAAAGCTTTGGTAGCAAAGCGAATGCCAGATGAATTTAAACATGTTCTCCATAAAGCCGTTCAAATAGTCAATTTCATAAAATCGCGTGCCTCAAACTCGGGTTTATTTTCAAAACTATGTTCTGAAATGGGAAGTGATCATATTTAGTTATTGCTACACACAAAGATAAGATGGTTATCAAAAGGAAAAATGTTGAACAGGTTATTGAAGTTGCGTTCTGAAGTACATGTTTTTTAATGAAAACCAACTTTGAACTGCGTGATCGGTTACTAAATGAATTGTGGCTCACAACACTAGCTTACTTAACAGATATATTTAATCGAATAAATAACCTAAACTTAGGCCTTCAAGACAAAGAACATAATCGATTTTCTGTAAACGACAAAATAAATTATTTTATCAAGAAATGTTATATGATGAAAAATAGTGTTTCAAACAAAGACTTGCAGTCGTTCACCAATTTTGAAATTTTTGTGTTTCAGCACGAAATAAAGATTAAAGAGGATCTTAGTTGTAACATCAAACAGCATTGTCAAAGGTGCTAATTGATAGTTTTAAAGAATATTTTGACGCAGACTATGCTCAGTTTCTTTGGATACAACAACAATTTATTTTGGATAGCATTCCTGAAATATTAAAACAGGATGAGAAGGAGTCTTTAATAGAACTATTTTGTGATAGGGGTTTGAAAATAGAGTTTTCAAAATTAGAATTAGCCGAATTCTGGCTAAATATTAAAAATGAATATCCATCCTTATCAAAAAAAACATTGATATTTTTACTTTCTTTTACAACCACATACCTGTATGAAACTGGATTTTCTGCTATACGACAAGTGAAAAATAAATTTCGCAGTAGGTCTTTATACAAATTTACGATTAAAACCAAGCGCAGTTGACTCTGATATCGATTCACTTGTTGTAGCTATGCAGAATCATGCTTCTCACTGAATTTTTGAACTGGGTTTGACTGTAAGTTTTATTTTGTAACATTTATAATGTCTTTTTTTAAACGTTTTAATATGTGGTACGCGATTGACACAGAATTTATATAAGTGGTACTTGTAAAAAAAGTTTAAGAATCGCTGGTCTACATACATGTTTTGGTGTTTAAATCACATTAGGCTTTTAGACCACAAAAATTACACCTACTTTAAAATTATTCCAATATATCAAAACGATTAAACAAATTATTAATATTTCTTTAGTGCCTATTTTAAACATAACTATTTTTAGTAAAGATTCAATTATATTACAAATTCTAACTAGTGGCCCATTTCTTGATACATCTGCTTATTCGTTCCAGATCGAAGCTGGAATTTTACGAGCAGTCTTGTGCAGTGGACGCTGTAACAAAAAAATGCGCCGGGTCGCCCATTGAATGCCGATCGGCGATTTTGGGAATTTTAGGAACGGATCTCCGGACGACGTGCGCCTGCAAAGGAACTGACATGGCCCAGTTGTACGAGTGTCTCGGCTGGCAGAGACTTCTCTGGGTCAATCCCTGTGTAGGTAAGTAAATGAGATTTTTGCGACAAAATGGAATTGCATAAAAGTACCAAAATCAATCTTTCGTAAAACGACAAAATATGTAGATCTTTTTTAAATGCAAGGTGTAACAGTATTATGTTGAAGTAATAATATTAGTACTATGTAATATCCAAAAAGAGATATTAAAAAAATTATAAATAACTTTATACTTCATATTTTAAAATTATTTTTATTTGAAAAGGGTGTAAGATATATTCAGTGTGAACCAAGAAGCTTATTTTGTCCAGATTTAAATGTACGTTTTATTACATTGTGTATAATACTTTAAAAGTGATGTCAAATTATATCCGAAAAGAATTCTTATTTTAACATCCTGGTATAAAACAGGTATAATTATTCTAGTTTTACGATAATTTATGGTACTATTTTTGACTGAATTATTATAAAAATTTAGTAGTCCAAATAAAATGCAAAATTTTTTACCCAGCTTGGATGGGTAGTCACAATCATGGAGATGTGATCTGCATATTGCAAAATTCTATGTAACTAAGCATAGATCAATTTCTTATAGTGGTGTCAGTTGGACCTTTGGTCAAAGCTTAGTTACATAGAATTTTGAAATATGCAGATCACATCTCTATGATTGTGACTGCCCATCCAAGGTGTCATATGTCACATGTCACCTTAATATTTTCTAATTCTGATATTAGTAGTACCCAGTTATGAATTTTGATACATAATTGTTCACAAACGTGAAAGTTATAGCGAATTCTATATATATATATATATATATATATATATATATATATATATATATATATATATTGAAATGATTTCAATATGTTAAAATATATACAACTTTAATGGATTTTTATATGAGTTTGTTGTTTATGAATTTCATGAAGCCATCACAATGTGGGTTCGACTCTGAAATAAAAGAGAGAAAAAGATTAGTAAATTGTTAAATAAATTAATTTTGACTTACCTGGTATAGTGTTAATAATTTCTGAATAGTATAGTTGCCTAGTGTATAGGTGAATCGTTTAAACCTTAAAAAGAACAAAAAAACAAGAATTTTAAAAAATATTTAAACATAGAAATTTTAATAAACGTCAGAAAATAAACTGCTTGACAGTTTATTTGACAGTCTGTGGGAGCTAAATTAATAGGGGTTTTGTTAAATAAGAAATTACAATGATGTGGAGATGAAAAGAATAAATTAGTATTGTAATAGAATAAGTTTTATATCTAAACATTTTTTTTTTGTAAATTCCCAAATTATATGTGATTAAAGTGATTATGAGAAAGTAATGTGGCTTGACAAGTATGTCAAACAGGACAGTTTTATGGTTTAAAATATTTAAATAGAAGACAGAAAAAAAAGAACGTTGGTTGCTGTTAGCAACGGATAATAATGGGAATTGGTTTTTGGAGAGGACGCCGACGAGGTTTTTTTGGACGAAGGAGAGCCCTGAAACTGTGGAATAGGTCGGGAGTGTTTTTTAACTCGTCTAATTAGAATTTAGTTTTTCCACAGTTTCCACAGCAGAGATATCCAGAAATTTGTTCCAGAGAGTAAGAGAAACAATTTCACTTATAAATTATATTGGAGTATAGAAATGTCATTTAAATTGAGAAAATTAAAATTCATGAATTAACATAATTGCGATAGGCCTTAAAAATTGAAATTATTAATGATCATTAAATTAAAAATAGAATAGTACGTACCTTAACTTCCGAAGAGAGGATTGATATTCCAGTTTCACCGATTATTTTTGAGTAGTTAGTTTCCTTTAAAGAAATCAGAACTGTTTTAAAGTGAGGTTGGACAATAATTTTGGGAATCATTTAAAATTTTGATTATATTTGAGTATCAGCGGAATAAAGTGTTCATTTTCTTTTTCTTTATAGTTCATTTAAACACTTTATAAAGTTGCAATATTTATTTAGTTTTTAGGTACTTGTAGAGAGTCTCAACATTTTGTAATACATTTTTATTGTCACGTCACTAAACCACGTTAAGACTTAAACGATTCCTATTTTTGTAAATTTTTAAAGGCAACCGAAGTTGCAGACGAATTTTATTGTTTATATTAAATTTGTTTAATATTAATAAATAACGTGCTTCATTTGGGTTAATTTATCAAAAGTCTAAAGTAAAGTTTGGTTTAATTTCTTTTTGAACCCTACCAGGAGACTACAGAGTCGACGTCACACAGTGACAGATTGCTTAGAATACATAATTGAGCTAGCTGAGGTATATAATAAATTAAACAACGAACCACATATTTTAAAAATTACATTTATTATAAATAAAAAATAAAATTAATAAAATACAACTTTATCAATATATATATATATATATATATATATATATATATATATATATTTATATATATATATATATATATATATATATATATATATATATATATATATATATATATATATATATATATATATATATATATATATATATATCGAAAACCTCTCTACCCTAAGGTGTGAGGTAAAAACAATACAATACAATTACAGGTTACAGATATATATTACATCTCAAATCCAATGAAAATATTTATTCTATTATATTTATTCTATTCTGTGCACGAATTTTGTCCATTCTTTCTTGTTTTTTGCCTTATTTTGAGCTTCTGACCATTCCAATCCCCTACTTTTCAAAATCTGCCCTACTTCGTCATCCCAGGTTTTCCGTGGTCTGTCTCTGATTTTAAACCTTTTCACTTTAGCCTTCCAGACTTGCTTAACGGGTCGGTTGTCGCTTATTCTGCACAAATGACCAAACCATTTTATTTGTTGTGTTTCAATAGCATGTCGTACTAATTCTGTGCCCAGTTCTTCTCTAACATCTTCATTTCTTATTTTGTCTCGTCGTGTTATTTCTTTGACTCGTCCTAGATATTTCATATCAATGGCTTGTATCTTGCTTTTTAATTGCTTTGTTAAAACCCAGCTCTCGCTTCCATATATCAAGATTGGTCGGAATACTGTCTTATAAACTGTTATTTTGGTTCTTCTTTTGATTTCCGGTTTATCTATGAATGCTCTACTAAGATTATGGTACACTTTTGTAGCACTACTGATTCTTTCTGTTATTTCATTCTGCATGGTACCTTCTCTGTATATTGTAACCCCTAGGTATTTGAATGCATCTACTTGTTCTATGAGTTCTTGGTTAATTTCTATGTTAACATTTCGGTTAGTTTTCGCTATTAGCATCACCTTGGTTTTCTTAACATTAATCTTCATGTTTCTGATTACCAGCTTATTATTCCAGCTATCTATATTTTTCTGGAGGTCCCTTTCGTTGGAAGCGCATAACATGAGATCATCTGCGAATATCGCGAAAATTAAAATTTTAAATTTCCACTTTACCACCCTGTATCTTTCTTAATATCAACATTTTATTAAAGCAATTTGGCTTAAATCGTAATATTTTAAAGTGTAGAATCTACAGTTTTTATTACAATTACTTAAGGACCACCCTGTATAATGTGATACCGCAATTGCCAAAAATCACTTGAATCTCAAACCTCCAGTAACCCTGTATATTACTGTACGTGTAAGAGCTAAGTAGTCACTAAAGAAACTGCCTTGTCTCTAAGCACTTAAATTTTAGGATACACTAAGGATATTTTAAAAATTTTACGATACAAATTTGAAACGGTGATCGTTATTGTTTATTAATTCTTCTGATCTACAATGTCGTTCTTTTTTTTTAAGATTTAGAGATACAATTTTGTTAGGCAAAATATAATGTTATCCGGAGAATATACCGTTAAAATTTGGTCCATTACTTATGACTCGTTTATGTAGGCGTAATAATCCAGGGTCTGATAATTTGCAAATGTCACTGATTTTTTGTTCAAACCAGAAGTACGAATTTTATTGGAAATAACATAATGAGACCAAATTAGTCGACCGCAAATTGCAATTAATGCACGACATGACAAATGGTTCGTATATCTGCATTTGGAAAACTGCGGTTTAAACTAAAGGACTTTACATACACGTAAACAATTTAACACATACTTAATATTGCAGTAGGTCAAAATTGTTCATTTATGTGAATATTTGTTATTGCAATATCATTATTGCGTTCACTGAATGAAAAAACTAATAGAATTGTATGACTTGATGTCTTTTAAATAGATTAACACTGTTGAATTTTTTTTGGTGAGAGCTCTTTTAAAATTCGCATCTGTGATTCTGTGAGATTTTCTTTCTTCCATGAACTTCAACACCATAAAATCAAGTAGGATATTATGCAGGATATAATATTATATAACATACTATGTTCTATGGTCAGTGGATTAGAGCAGTTGGAGCAGACTGGTAATGGTACCTTTGTTATTAAGTATTTGTATTGTCTTTTCCAATAGCTAAAACACGTATTTACGCAAATATATTTATTTTATTAACCAAACTCGTTCACAATAGTCAGAATTAATTACACAAAATTATACTTATTACTTTCCGCCACGAACTTAATATCTATCGCCTTTCGCTGTGTTTATATGTGTCTCCACGGAAGTAGCCGTATCGACTCTATTCCAAGCTGATGACCATATAAGGAAATTAGTGACTTAAGCCGATCACCGTATTAGGAATTAAGTGTGACTGCACAATGTCATAACAAAACTACCAGTATTCCATTTTAAGCTGATTAAGACATTAAGAAGTTAGTAACTTAAGGTGATCAGTGTATTAGGATGAAAGTATGACTGCATTTGTGTGTTATGAATGTATGACAAATTCTTAAATAGTTAATAATAACAATATTTATGTTTAAATATTGTTATTATTAACTATTTTTACTATTGTTAACTGTTGTTAGAGTTATTACTAACTCTGCTGTTTAAAGGACTATTCAGGACAGGAAGTATTTTTCGGTAGATTAAATTAAATTTTGTACCCATATAATTTTCAATATAATTTTACCATGTATTGGTACAGCGGATTTTAACCAGTTTCTTTAGATGGGTGTAAGGATGAGTTTTTAA